CGGAGGGGTTGGCCAGCTGGTCCCACCCCCTGACCAGACTGGTTCGCTGGCTGCAGTGGGTGTCATAGCAACTGGTCATTCTGGTCGTTACAGCTTTGTGGTCACTGGCTTTTTATATATATACTAGTAGATACTTTTGTATAATAAAAATCTGTACTGACATTACTTTATTATTGACAAATGGGATAATCTTGTCTTCAAGAGGCTTATAGGGTACTTGGAGAGAGATAAGAGTTACCCAGACACATAAGACAAAAGCAAGATCAACGTTAATTATTATTCATTTATTTAACAAATCTGAGAGTCTGTTCATTGGCAGGTATTTTGCTAGGCATTCTTTGGTGGACAGGATGGACATAGTTTCTCTCTTCACATTTCCAGCCTATCCAGGGTCATGCTATAGGACAGATGAGCTACACGAGGAGAAACATGCTGATTTTTACTGGCATGGGGCAGTATGTATCTGAACTGATAGAACTGGATAGCAGAACATTCATGATAGGAAATACAGGATGTCTGGGTAGCCTCATTGTCAGGGTGCATCCAAGAGGGCAAAAAGTAATAAGGATAGAAAGCAGGGAGAATCTCATGCTGGTCTGAGTCTGTTCTCTGTTCTCAAGTATGTTGATTATCCTGCTCAAATTGAACCACAACAATTTTAATATACTTTATTTGTTATAATTTCAATTTGAATATCTTTTTGTTGTTTTTCTTCATGGTTTCGTTTTTTGCATTTTAAAGGTGAGAGGGGTAAGAGTAGGGAAAAGGAAAAAAGAACAAAATTTCAACCCATGTTGGCAGTGATGGTGGAAGTGGAATTATATGATGAGCTTTATATTTTCTTTTTTAATTCTCCCAACTTTCTAACAAAGACAAAATTGCTCCTTTTACAGATTAAGAAACTGAGGCTCTGAGTAGTCAAACAGATCCCCAGATGTCCACAGAACTAATAAATGCAGACACAAAATTAAACTGCAAGCTTGACTCCCAAGTCTTTCCTTTTCTTAGGCAAAAATATATAAGGGATTCTGCAGAATTTAAAGTCTGTTAAAAAAAAATGACTTAAAACTTCAGGGTCTACCAATTTCTGTACTTACACAGAAATAAACAGCCTTCATATACACAGTCACAACCATTTAGAAAAGACAAAGGAAGAGAAGATTGTACTTATAAAAACAATAAAAAGTAAAATAGTTAAGATGAATTTAACAAGAAATGGGCAAAACCTACATGAGAAAACCTTTAAAAGCTTCACAAGGATTTGAGAGTAAAATCAAATGGAAAAATATACAATGTCCTTGGATAGGAAAATTCAACACCAGAAAAATATCGATTCTCCCTATGTTAGTTTATAAATTTAACATGTTCTCAATTTTTTAAAAGAGTTGCCCCCCACCAGAACAAGACAAATGATTCTAAAGTTCACATGGAAAAATAAACAAGCAAGAACTGCCAGGAAAATGAAGGACAACAAGGAAAACTAGCTTTTATGAAATGTCAAAACATTTTATAAAACCAATAACGTAAACTGGTGTATGAATAGGAAGTCTAAAGGAACAGAACAGGAAGAAGTTGAGAGGTGTACCTCAATATATCGGGAAGTTCAGGATACAATAAAGGTGCATTGTATTCTGAAACAAATGGATAAGGTAACTGGTAGGCACATTGAAAAAGACAAAGCTGAATCTATACATCACCCCTGAATGCCAGAATAAATTCTACATGGATCAAAGATTTAACTTAAAAATGAAACCATAAATGTATTAAAGAAAACAAAAGCAAATTCTAAATTCTTGGAGGCTTTTCTGTGACTTAATCCAGACACCAAAAAAAATCAATATTAACTACCTAAAACTTAAAGATACAACTTTTAAGCCTGCTCTAGACCAAAATACATGAAAGTAAGTAAAAAAAAAAAAAAAACACACACACACACACACACAAATGACAACTGGGGGTAATTGCAACTCACATTGCAAAGGGCTAAACTTGCTAATTTACAAATAGAAATTGATTAGAGAAAAAGCAATCCAAAGAAAAATGTGCAAAGGGCAAGAACAGATAGTTCACAGAA